AGAAGCATCTGAGGCTAAAGGTTAAAGTGCCCAAACAGTCTGCATGCATAAACACACCCACTGCTGCCAGCCTCCCTACCTTCTGTATCTGTATATCTGCACTCAAACAAGACAGCTCAGTGCTACTCCTGGGCAAAGCAGAACCAAAATCCCCCTTATCTTCCAACAGAAAACCACTTTTTATAGATGTGCTCCCAAAAGTTAATAATTTAGCAAGCCATTCTCTGTTTCTGAGGGAAAAAAAAGCAGTTGTCTAATCACATCCACTTTGCTACTAAATGATTTGCTACCAAACAATTTGCTACCACCACTTAGCAAGTAAAGGTGAACTAGCTGAACACTGGATTGTCAACAGTGTAAGATTTTAGTTACTACCCCTGACATACACACTTACTACCAATACTGATGTGGTACAGAAAAATATTCACTGGATCATATTGGCTATGCTCTCTAATTATTTAGTCAGTCTTCAAATTTTACTATATAAAATCTAATGACTATGGACTGATGAAATTAAACAGCTATCCAAAATAATACTAGAAATAAAGAACAGACATTTCCTTTTACACACTATCAAAGCATGACTCACCTTGGAGATCTGTATTATCAACGTTAAATTAAACATAGAAAATGTGTAATAGAAAAACTCAGTGTAATGCATGAGTACTCTTTGAAAAAACTATCTAAAAATTCTTAGCCTAATTATATTCACTGTAATAGTCACTACTGAAAGGATACACTACATTTTTGTAAAAGGGCTACTGAAAAAAAGGGCATTCATTAATCACAAAGGTTTTCTGCTTTTTTTACAAGCATTGGATATTTCCTCTTTGACAAGCCCATAAAAGTAAGTCTTCCACCCTGAGATACCCTTTAAGTGCATCTCCATTACTCAGAAAAATACTGCATGTTAATATTTTCCCTTCTACTCACCATGTTAAACACAAATAATGCTTTACTCCACCGTGATTCACTACAGTTTGTTTCACATGAAATCTGAATTGTTGAAACAGGTTAATATCTTTGTACTGAAGTAAAAAAGGAGCATTAAAGAAACAAGTGTTTCATAGATGTGCACTGGAGAACTGCAATGATAAAAAAGCAAGGAAGGATAACTATGCAGTTTACTTTTTCTGGCATAAAGGTAAAATTTTAGCTTTGCAGGTAGTTGTCCAGGGAAATAAACACAGACATCCAAAAACTACAGGAACAAAAGAAAGAAAGATAATGAGGGTGAAAAGGAAATACTAACTCTGTCAATTTCTCTATGTACAGATTTGCTGAGATAGACGACCTATTTTATTCTTATCTTTCTTGATATTTTGCCAAGTTGCATCTACAATTTTTCTTTGCCAAATCAGGCTATTAGTGCCTAATACCTTTGATGTAAGAACTCAGATAGGAATCCCGATGAAGAAAAGTAAACCTAAGTTGCAATGCCTAGATCAAAAGACAGCCAAAAGAAGAGATTATTGATAAATTGTTTCATAGTTAACAGACTGATGGTATATACACTGCCATAAGCTGAAGCTACTCTTAATTACTTCAGAGCAACAATGAAACACTGTGCTTCTACAGTCACTTTACATCAAATTTTAACTTTTCACAAAGCAAGACCTCTGGGGAAGGAAGTGAATCTTTCCATGGCAAGCAGAGACACCCCAAGCTACAGCACCAACCTGAGACAGTTTTGACATCGGAAGTATCGGGAAAGAACTGTGTATACAGACTGTATATACTCAAGAAGCTGTGACTAACTCCAGTCCTCTAGGATGACAGTGTTGGTTCACCAAGCTAAGAACTCCCATAAGCTCACAAAACCACACATGCAGCCTCATCTCTGAATTGCAGGCTTACTTTTAATGCCCTTATCATTTCCCAATTAACAAAAAATTTTTTTAAGCTATTTGCTAACTTGCTCACCCTATGCCTCTTATAAGCCAGGGATGTCCTGATAACAATACATTTTTATGATGTTTATTCATCAGCTCTGATAACCAAAGGTTTCTTTTCTGCCTCCAAACTGGCTCAATAGCTAAACAGCAACTCAAACAGATGGAACATTGTCAGTTTTCTTTGTCTACATACAAACAGAAGCAAGGAGAATAGACATAGTTCCAACACAAAAATTCCACTACCACTGAGGCTAAAACCGCATATTTACATGAGGTTTCAGGACCTGCTCACCAAAAGATCTGCCAGAAATACCTTCCAATAGTTACTATCTCAAATTCTGGTTTGAAAATTTGTGCTTTAACTTGGACAACTGTGCTTGGGAAAAGAAGGGCAAGCCCAGAAATTATATCTGAGCGATAAGATCCTTTAGTCTTTTAAAAACCTAACAATTCCCCAAACCATTTTCTATCATAGCCTACAGCACTACATTTTCTCCCACTAACAACAAAAATTCTTACTTTGATCCTCACAATGCCCACTGGAAAGCAGTTTGCCGCAGTGATACCAATACAATAAGTCATCTAAACACCTCTGCATGTAGCACCACCCAATCTGGTGTACCAAATGCACACTCTCCTGCTGATTACAGAGACTATACCACCCTTGCCAGATGCTCTAAAGCTGGGACAGTTTCAAAAATCACAGCAGCAGAAATCAGCCAGAATCTTCTACAGCACTGTATATACAAGCAACTCAGTGCTGACCGTACTATGAGGAGTATATTTTCATGTGCCACCTGCTGCACTAACAGCAGTGTTAACGACCAAAGGCAGAGACAGCCTATTCACCAGAGGACTCACTGGCTGGCATCAGAGATGGACAAAAAACAAAGCCAGAAATTACTCCACCGAATATGCTCTCAAGAACACGAATTGGAGCCAGTTCTCTTTAGGGGTTAGCTGCGAAATGATGCAACACCTGTTGTGTTAGGAATTTGAGCCACTCTAAACGAAGTGTTCCAAATGTCTTCCTACCAAGCTAGTGTAGCGGCAGTGTTTGCAGCTACGCTATGTGTTGCTCTGCAACTTGGGAGTTTGCTGTGCTCAGAGCGGGGCTCAGCAAGGGCACTTCCATAGACAGAGGTGTATTTCGAATGGCACTGGATGCACAGAGAAATTTTGGAAGACAAGACTCTGCCTGCTCTCCTAGGGGCTGCCAATTCCATTGGGGTATAATAGGTTGCTTTGACTTTGCTCTCAGCTGAACAGACACAGAGTCAGAAGTGCCAGAACACTGTGTCTGTGGAGCATGTGAATCAGCAGCATTTTTGTTCCTGGTGAAGCTTACTGGTTTATAAAGAGCATTTCAGTTGAGATCCTCTCAAGAAAAAGGGAGAAGCGGAAGACTTCCTCTGCTTGCCACGTAACATAGAGGGGGGTTGCTAACCTCAGCTGAACTCAGCAAATACTTAATGTCTGGTAATGTATTTCCCTGGTTTGGACAAATCCATCTTGGCTTTGCTTATGACAAATGAAATAATACAGAGTAACTTTTCTAATACGCTTTGTTACCCCCACCCAGACATTGTCTATTTCATTGTCTTCTACACATCCGATCTTGCTTCTTCCTTGTGGAAATTGGAAGAATGTAACTTACCAATTACTGTCTTATGTACACAAGTTTGAACTTGTACAAAGTGGAGGAGGCTTGGACAGGGACAACATCTAACAAACAGTTTTTAGCACGACACCAACTTCCCCGTTTTTCAGGCAAGAGTTCCTTTTAATAGGAAAGGTCTGGCCTGTACCGCTGACAGGAAGACTTCAAAGACTGATTTACTCTCTTATGTTCATATCAAATGTTTTCTGGATCTTATGTCTTGCCTGTTTCAGCTCAGCACTGTTTGAAAGAAACGTATTATCTTTTTTTATTCCACTTGTCTTGCATCATCGAAAGTATCAAATGTTCTCAAAAGCCTGCAATGTACTTTCTAAATAGCTGCATTTTGGTCTTTGGTGTAAACCGATCTTCCCCCATCTTTATGAACAAGAATGAAGGCTTTGGTTAAGTTTTTTTTCTAAGCCCTGTCTCGACAGTTTTCCACATCACACCCGCCATACAAAGAACCTCAGTCTTTGGCCAACCCAGGTTTATGAATGGCCACATTGTACATCGCATTCTTAAGCCTTCCTTCTTCCAAGACGTTGGAAGCCGAGGGCTCACGGCGGAAGAGCCAGGGATGAAACCTCCAGGCGCCCGGTTCCCCCCCGGAGGGGCTTCCTGCCCTTTCCCGCTGAGCCCCCGCGGCGGCCCCGCCGAGCTGCACGGCCGGGCTGCCGCTGCGCTGCCGGGCTCGGACCGCCGCGCCCTCCGCCCCGCATCCCTCCCCGCCCGCGGCACGGAGCCCCCCGTCCCGGCTGCCGCTGCCGCCCACTGCCACATCACCACGGAGCCCGGCCGCTGCTTCCTTCCGTCCTTCCTTCCTTGCTTCCTTCCTTGCTTCCCTCCGCTCTCCCCCCGCGCGCCCACCTGCCCGCTCACCCAGCTCGGCGCCCTGTTGCTCAGTTTGACTTTCTTGCACTGGCTCTCGGGCAGCTCCATGGACGCGGGGGCACCGAGTGGAGAAGGAGGAGAAGGAGGAGGAGAAGGAAGGGAGGAAAACGCGCCTTCCCGACTGATGCTCGGCGAGGATGAATCCGCTGCCGCCAGGGAGCTGCGTCGTCTGCGCACACCCGCGGCTCGGCCAAAGGTGGTGCAGGGAGGAGCCGCGGCCCCGCGGCAGGGAGGGAGAGAGGGAGGGAAGGAGGGAGGGAGGGAGGGAAAGAGAGAGGGAGGGAAAGAGAGAGGGAGGGGACGGGAGGAAGGAGAGACGGCGGCCGGAGCCCCACACGCGCGTGCGCCGCGCCGTGACGCGCCCGGGGCGGGCGGGGTCCTCGCGAGGCGCCACTTCCGGTACCGGCAGGGCTGTCACTGTGCGTGTCCGTGTCCGTGTCCCTGTCCACGCCACTGCCCTTGGCCATCTCTCTGCCCGTGTCCCTGCTACTGCCCGCCACCCGGCTCGGCGCCCGCCAGCGCTGCTCGCTTCATTCGAGAGGACGCAGTCTTGAGCGATGAGGAGAGGACATAAAGTCTTACGATGCATCAAGGGGAGGTTTAGGCTGGATATCAGGAGGAATTTCTTCACGGAAAGGGTGATTAGACATTGGAATGGGCTGCGCAGGAGGATGCTGGAGTCGCCGTCCCTGTAGGTGTTTAAGAAAAGGCTAGGCGTGGCACTTCGTGCCGTGATCTAGTTGACAAGGTGGTGTTGGGGCTCAGCGACCTCGGAGGTCTTTTCCGATCTAATTGATCCTGTGCTTCCCAACTGCCCTCCACTACGATATTAAGCTTGAGCTGCACAGTGGAAGTGTTCTCTCGCGTGTGGTGCTCCCCGCCTTTTCCATTATCGCACAGAGAGGCTGTTCCGCCCCTCAGGAAAAACTGTGGGCCAGGGAAAGGTGCAGAGTGGCTGTCACATAATTGTGTAGCAGGGCAAGCTAAAGACACAGCCAGAGCACAGCACTCCTTCCCCTGCCTTTGAAGAAAAGGGGGCTTTGCTGCAAAACCTTAGCTTGGAGGTGATGAAACTGAGAAGCCGTAGAGTGGGCATGGGTGGTGATGCTGTCATGACTGACTGGAAAGACAAGGACTATTTCGGTTGAATCTCCCACCTTAGAAAGATCTCCCCAGCAAACACAGCTAATCCCGTGCTGCGCTCTAGGAATTGTCACTTATTGTGAATTTAGAACCAGAAGTTCTTGGGTACTTATTTCCAGAACTGAACTGCTGTAGCAGTCGGGTGCTAATCTTAAGGCGGAGATGATGGCATGCTAACAGGAGTGGCATTTGCTGTACAAATATTAGAACTTAAAATTTTGTTAGTTCGAGGAAGGAAGTGCTTTAGCACTTAAAGGTGGAATGGTGCTGTAATTACAGGAGTTACATGTATTGTATAAGCATTAGTCTATCCACAATCTATCTGTATCATGTTTGTTCTCTGATGGTTTAAACAGAAAGTAAAAAAGCTTTCCTTGTGGATCAGTGTTTACCCCTGCTATATCAGAAAGATATCCTTCCAAAGAAACTAAGTTGTTGGTTTAAAAGCATGTATTGATATTCTGATTAAAAGCTTAAAATCTTTATGCAAGGTAGATGATGTCTCTGAAATCAAGAAAAAATAGTTGGAAATGCTCTCAGGCAATTTGAAGGTCAGATGGAATGAATACAATGTAACTAAGAAATTTTAAAATTGCAGTTATTTATTTAGGCTTGACTAGAACATTATATCATGTGTTTTCCTGCAAGTAACTGTTCAACAGATGGTCCTTGGCTGCATTCTGACCATGAAAAACAATGACAGAGCCAGGGCTTGGATTTTAATTGGCAAAATCTCCCACACAATGCTCTCCCAAGTATGGAAAGAGAACCAGCACAGTACTGTGGAAAGGTGAGTTAAGATCTTCCCCCTGTTAACTATTCAGTTATGTGTAGGGTGTGCTTGGTTACCTGTGCTTTGCACACCATTGTTTTACATGGTTTGAGAGTAATTCTCAAAGTTATTTGTTGTCACATTCCTTTTAAAATTGTACTGCTATTTTATTATAATTACATTGATCTAGATAGGTACTGTTCATTCTGCAGTTTGAGAGACAATAGTGGAAAGACATTGGTTTGCAACAGTTGTAAATTAAATCTAAAATAAAGGCAGCCCACCTAATTATGCAGCAGTGACTTCTTACAGGTCCATTTGGCTCCCCTGTAATACCCACTCATTGGCTGGGAGCAAACCAGCAGATTTTTTTAAATGGTCTGCATAGGCGTTTTGCTTTGGTCAGCTCCTTGCCAGCAAGGAGTCCTATCCCATCATGGCATCTTTTTTGCCACCTACTTACTGAAGAAATGTTGTTTAATTCTGATTTGAAGGTTGAGAAAACACGGCTTTGAGCACAGGTGAAGTTTCAGGCAATGGTATTTAGAGTTTGAAAAATCGAAAGAGAAGAAAATGCAGTTGTATTAATTACCATGTATGCACAATACTGCCCAAACGGATTGAAGGCAGGGAGCTGCATGATTCCTTCCAGAAAATGTTGAAAAAACCCTGATGAACGGACCATATACTAGTGAAATGTGAAGTATATCTGCAAATACAGACACTATTGGTCAGACAATGACATAATCTTAGAGGTGATAAAAAAACCTGTTTCTGAGCAGCAATTCCTAAAACACATCACCTTTTACAATTATACTAACATTCTAAAATAATGTAGACATACATATGCATATATAATATAGTAGAATATTGTAGTAAAGCCACACATGTAGATGAGGTACATCACAGAATGGAAGGAACCACCAGTGAGCTCATGTGGTCCAACCTCCCTGCTCAAGCAAGGTCATCCTAGAATACATTGCACAGAATTGTGTCCTGATGGTTCTTCAATATCTCCAGTGAGGGAGACTCCACAGCCTCCCTGGGCAATCTGTTCCAGTGCTTGCTCACCCACAAAATACAGAAGTTCTTCCTCATAGAATCAGAATCATAAAATCATAGAATCATAAAATAGCTTGGTTTGGAAGGGACCTTAAAGATCACCTATTTCCAAGTCCCCTCTCTTGGCGCACCTTTCACTAGACCAGGTTGCTGATATTCAAATGGAACATCCTGTACATCAGTTTCTGCCTGTTGCTTCTTGTCCTATTGCTCGGCACCACCAAGAAGAGCCTGGCTCCATCCTCCCTCCCTTCAGATACTTATGGACATTGATGAGGTCCCCTCTCAGTTGTCTGTTCTTGAGGCTGAACAGGCCCAACTCCCTCAGCCTTTCCTCACAAGAGAGATGCTCTAGTCCCCTCATAATCCTTGTTGCCCTCCACTGGACCTGCTCCAGGAGCTCCGTGTCTCTCTTGTACTCAGGAGCCCAGCACTGGACACAGCACTCCAGATGCAGCCTCACTGGGGCTGAGTAGAGGGGCAGAATCACCTCCCTCAACCTGCTTGCTATGCTCTTCCAAATGCAATATATCAGGCAATAATCAATATTTACATATTTTACAGAGGCTAATGTCACAAGCATAGGTCATATTTCATCAGTTCTTGTCAATGCTGTTTCAGTGGAAATGCAAATATAATTTTGTTGTACAGAAGTTTGACATAAAAGTCCATCCAGACCTACCCATGCATTTTGCTTCTTTACCTTCTTAACCTCCTTAAACTATTAAAGAGGGACATGAGCATAGCATTCTTTAAATATAGGGACAAAATATATGTTAATTTATGTGAAGATCTGGTAAAAATTAGCAGCCTGTGAGTTCTTTGTAATGTAGTGTATAAGTTCTGTAACACTATCAAGGGGTAAGTTGCAATTCCACTTTCCTGAAACCTTTAATGATTGCATTGATTTTGATATCCAAGCCAGGTGTTTTCTGAACTTCAAAAGCAAATTTCTGTGGGAGCCCTTAGTGAAATTCAAATCAATATGAATTGCTGTCATTTCGTAATCTGCTTCTTTCAAGCTGAGTTCAAAAACTGTTCTCATGACAGCAGGTGCTCTTGCAGCCCTTCTCTATGGAGCTAATAAAGCTGCAGAGCTAAGGCCTGTGCCCTTGATAAATGTCAGTGTGGTCAGAGAATGAAGGCAGAATTGAACTAAAAGACTATGAGATAAATATTTGGCCAGTCTGAACTCCCCAAAAAAAGACTCACTCAACCTCTGAAAGAACCATGAGGATTTAGTATCCTTGAGTTGATTGTGATGCTGAATACTCCTGTCAAAAAGCTACTCTGTAAAATGACAATAATAAATTTGGATTTAATGTTCTTGCAGGAGCAACAAATCCAAAATATCCACTACTGTTGGGCTTAATTTCAAAAAGAGAAATTACATAAAAATTGACTTATTTTTTAAAAAGAAGGTACTAGAAAACATAGACAGCCCAGGGACTAGTTAAAGAAACTATGCTGGATTCTGACTTGAAGGTTGGGAAAACACAGTCTTTGAGCACAGATGAAGTTTTAGGCAAAGTGCCCTACACCCATATAATACCACTGAAAGACTCTCAGCCAAAGAACAAATTGTACATACAGACATGCTGACCAGACCAAGTCAGGGAAATCCTTTCAATTCTACTTAAAGACAATGACATAGAAAAAATTCTCTCCTGAGTTAGCTTCTGCATAGCCAGTTGTACTATCTAATACCAGACAATCCCAGATATATAGTGAGATTCACAATGTGCATTATTTAACATTATCAAGCAGAGAGAGACACAGGGTACCATACAGTTTTAATCTCCAGTAAAATCTGAACTACTGATCATATTAGGAAAAAGATAAGACTTCATCCTGGGTTATATTCCAAAGAAACATATACATTTTCAGGGGAAAATCAGCTTTTTAAAGAAAAAAAATTTTTAGATACAAAATTAAAAAATCATGATGTTTAATATTTATTTTTACACGGTGTGTCACCAGACAATCTGTCCCAAGATGTCAGTTGAAATAACAGAGATAAATCAAGCTTTAGAATTCAAAATACTCAAATATATTAAATAGTAGGAAAAAATTCTTCAATGAAAGGCTGCTCAGACATTGTAACAAGCTGCTCAGAGAAGTGGTGGAATCACCATCCCCGGAAGTGTTCAAAAAATGTGTAAATGTGGCACTTTGTGACATGGTTTAGTGATGCTAAATGGCATGGCAGTGTTGGGTTAACAGTCAGATTCAATGATCTTACAGGTCTTTTCCAACCTCAGTGATTCTATGATTCTGTAAGATTATTTTGAATACCTTCTAGACATCAATTATAACATAAAAGGAGTGTCTGAATTAAAATTGACTTCAGACTATAGATGAAGTATTCTCTAATAATTTCGTTTAATACTCAGTGGTTAAACACTGAGCACCTACTTGTATATGACTGATATACAAACCTAGATATGCCTTATCTGTAGGTACTACCTTTAATGTGCATGTTCTCTTATTTCTAGGAAGAAAAACAGTATTAATGAAGCATTCTCTATAATCCACCTACAGTTGTCACTTACAATAAAATGAATGAGAAATTAGGGGAGAAACTCATTTAATATTGAAATTGTTCCTCTGGTAAGCATAGTGATCGAACTCTGTTGTCACGTCATGCTCATGTAAAGATGCATCTATTCTTTTTTTTTCTTTTTCCTTGCAAAATGTCCAGAGCAGAGTAACTCAGGTAGTCATGCAGGCTGTCTACACTTTTTTATTTTTTTGAAAGATAGCATTTTCAATGTAGATTACGCTGCCTACATAGAAAAGGCTCATCACTGTTCTGTCAGCAGAGTTTCCAAACATTATTTCTCACATAATAATTCTTCTTTTGACACTATTCTAGTAAGCAAGAGCTTTAGAATGTCTTTTAAACAGATTAAACATTTTTTCAAGTTCCTTTCAAATATCTCTCAACACCAGAAACAGGACCATGAAGCAATCTCTCTCACTCCCCAGGAAAAACTATCCAAAGCCATGTACGTGTTGAATTACCTCAACCATCAAGAGAATGACAACACACCAGTGCAAAGACATTTTTCTCAGAGTCCGTTACAAAACATATCCAAAGCTAAAGTACTTTATAAAGATTTGATAACTAATGAATGGAAAGGTCCTTTTTCCTTAGTTACATGGGGAAAAGGACACGCTTGCATCTCCACAGATACGGGAACAATATGGGTACCAGCGAGAAGAGTGAAAATCTTCAATGGACCATCGTCATCCTCGTCACCGTCATCATCCCTCCCACCTGTGAACAACCATTAAGGGACCCCATACCATGGGCCTTGTCCAAACAAGAAAATATATGGGTAAAACTAACTCAGAGTATGAATACCGATTCCCTATGTTTAACTACTTTAAATTTTGATGACCTTTAAAGAACATGTCTAATTGATCTACCCGTGAAACATTCTACTCAATGGTTCTTAAGACTTCATTCACCTAGAGAAATTGAACCCCTAAAAATAGATTTCCTTGGCACTCTAAAAGCTAGCCTTTGCTTAATGTTTAAAAAGCGACATTTTACATCTACAGAAAATCATATTGTCACACCTAACTCCCCTTTCTATAAAAATACATCCTTGTGGTGCAATGAGTCCTCTATCCTGTACTCCGAAACCTATACAAAACCTTGGAGTCTCCCCAAAGGGGAATTCTTACTATGTGGAGACCGAGCTTGGTCTGGGATCCCATCTCATCCATTAGGAGGACCTTGCACAATAGGAAAGTTGACAATATTCAATCCTGCCAAGATTCTTTTCCTAAAACATCAACCTCCCATTATATCTAAAAAGGTGTGGGAATCACCGAGCTGTGATCCCACAGTGACTAATGTATGGGATAACTTTACAATCCTCCCAAAAATAGAAACAGAACACGCTCTTAATGTCCTGGAACACATGAAATGCTGGATGGTGGAGGAAGCCAGTGCTATCAGCACTGCCATCCACAGTTTATTGGAAGACTCTCTAGTATTTAAAGACATTTCCTTAAATTACCAAACAGCCATTGACTATTTTTTACTATCCCTAAACCTTGGGTGCCAAGAATTCAAAAATTTATGTTGTTTACATTTCTCTAATTCAAAATCTACCCATTAAAATGTTTATTACAGTATTTCTGATTTAAAAAATTTAATTAATGCAGCACGAGTACCTGCAAACTTTTTTGACGGACTATGATTACCCTCACTTCCCAGTTGGCTAAAGCAAATAGTCTTAGTTTCTCTTTCTGCATCATTAACCTATCTCTAAAAGGAATCATTACCAAGCATGTTTTCCCAGTTTATTTAAAAAACAAGAAAGGAGGAGATGTTGGAGGTGAGGAAGACCATGAGAAAATGGAAACAGCATTTTCACTGTGGAAGGATCAAGGGAGAGGAGAGGTTTCATTTGATGACTGGAAGACCAGCCCTGTCCACACCACTACCTGTGATAACACCAACATTTGAGGACTTTATTGTGGTAGCTTTGTTAAAGTTATAAAACCTATTAGTAGGTTGATTCCCTTATTTTCCCCCTCGTGGACTTTTGCCTGTCAGGCATAGAAACAATCCCTCATAGGTCAGTGTACCCTGAGGTACTGACCAATCATGTTCTCCCCTTGTTAGTCCACTCCCTGTTAACACCTCCCTATGATTGTTAGAGGATTTGCATGCTCCTCCCAGTCTCCACCCTCTTTCCAGACCCTTCTCTACCTAACCCTATAAAACCCACCATTTTGTGTTAATAAAGTAGATCAGCCTTGGCTGTTTGGGTGTTTAGTACTGTCGTGTGTGCCTCTTTTCTGGGTGCGCCTTCAGGGTGAACTCAACCCTCAGCCATTGCCTTGAGCCTATAAATACCACCTACAAGCTAGGCAAGAACCCTGTGCTGGTCCGGTCCTTTCCCCGAACCAAAACTGCAACAGGCTTTTAACCATAAACTCCTTATTCACTGGCCTCCTGTTTGAGGTGCTGTTTTTCCTCCTTCACGAGGTTTGTGTAGTGGAAAAGATGACCGTCAAAAGCTACCTGAGATTAACAAAATTATCATGTGGATACTTCTCCTGTAATGCAGCTTGGGTTGCAGACATGATATGCTCATCTACATTCAAAATAAAATATAGGAAGTCCTGTATAAGTCCCATAGGTCAAAGATAGGAATAGAGGAGGTATTTCTGGGAATCTATTTTCTGTCTTTAGCAAAAGGTTTTAATAAATTCCTTAATAATTGGACTGATATGTATGTCCAGCAGAACAGTGTGGCACAGCTGTTTAAAGAAGCCACAAAGAAAGATCAGCAGAAATGCTGATAAACCCCCGAATTATGAGAATACCACTTGTTTTCTGACATACTGCTGAATGTTTAACTCAGTCTTCATGTCCCACAATACTGAGGATTAGAACTCTCTTCCCAATTATGTTGCAAGTATTACATCTGCTGAGTTTGCTCTTTAGACAAATAAACTCACTCCACGTGCCATCAATGTTCGGAATGAAGTGGTCTGTTTTGGCCAGAAGTGAGAGATGATGGTTGGTGGGCAGTTTCAGGGAATACAATGATGTATTATGTGCAGCTGAACAGATATCATTAAGGTAACAGGATATACTCCTGGCTGTGTTGGATGATGGAAAGGTGTGTCTGACGAAGTTCAAAGAGGTAAATTGAGGAATATACTGGCTAGGAAAGAGTAACAGCTAGGGGCAGTGCAGATGCTAGAACTTAGGCTTAAAACTTCTGCAGAGGTCCCAGGGTGCACACATTGTAAGGTGAAATAAAATACGATTTTTAACAGTGACAGAGGTAGAGCAAAATTGCATAGAGCACAGATTTGAAAAAAAATTTATCTTTATGCTCCATCTTTTGCAAAAAAATGCGTGTCTCCTCTATCAAGCTGGCATTTCAACTGGTGTAAAAGCTGTGATGAATGACCACTAGAGGTCATTCAGTGAATAAGAAATAATTCAGGCTTTCAGTTGAGTGGTTTGCTGACTTGGGGTTTATTTATTTTGTTCTTTTTGTCATTAACATAAAGAAAGAGTGAACTTTACAAGAGAGCTAAGTACTAGATTTCTGAAGATAACTGACTATCCATGTTCTCCACAGGTACTCAGTGATTGTAGGTAGCCCTGTGTGACTGCTGACATTTTCAACAGCGCTAATGAATTTGATTGGGAACTAGGCATACACCTAGAAAGCTGAATACTTTGCTGTGTGCTTCTCTGTGTGTTTAAGTAATTACCACCTTTAAAAAACTGGTCCTAGTTGCAGTGCGGAAATATTTATCTGTTTGACAAATGTCTATTTTCCACGTAACTGTCTATTTTAAATTTAGTTACTATATAGTTTCTCCCTGTCTTTGGCAGATAGAAGAAAGGACATGTGTACTGTTTATTTAAACATCGGGAGTAAAAGTCATAAACTCTAGATAGAGGGATCTCTAGAGAACTCAGAACTAAAGACTGTACAACTTTGAAAGTGTTTTCCCCTTTCTATTCCTCTTAAAGCCTCTGTTCAACATTTGAAGAAAAATACTTTTTTTCCCCCTTTCTTTTTCCACATCTTGGCATGTGACATTATATGTGCGGGAAAAAATCTCCTGGCAAACCTGTAAATAAGCTAAACCTGATGGGATCTCTGAAGTAGGGATGAAACAGAAGAAGGTTATCAGGCAGGAAGATCAGAAGATGCTTGGAGAAGAAAACTAGGAGAAGGATCAGCAGTTACACCTCATGACAGATAAGCAAAAGATGAAGAAATTCTATGCAACAATTCTTATCCTAAAGCCAAAGAAAGATGACATTTCTCAGTTATGGTCATAGTAGGAGAGACAAGCTGAGAATGAAAATGAATGTGAACTAACAGTTTGTTTTCTTAGGGATGAGAACATACAGAGGACTTTCACTCTTGTCAACAATCCCAGGATATAATGTCCCTAGGGCTGTTTTTGCCAAGTCACAACTGTTGAAAAGGAAGTTCTTTCCAAGAGTAGATGGTTTTCAATTAAATAAATATATTGTACATAAAGATTTGCAAAGTAATTTCTAATGTCTCTGTACTATGGAATTGCTTTCTCACCAGTGACAAGTGTTCTACCACTTTGTTTGCTACTCACTACATACATCATTTATCTTAATGATCGTTTTTGTCATTAGAATTCAAACAAACTGTATTTAACGAGGAAGGCCCTTTCTCAGAATTATTTGTAATACAATTTCTTCTTCAGTCATTTGATTTGTTAGAAATGGAAAGTGAGCCATTAGGGTGCTTTTCAATAATTTATTGCTCTCTGCATGCAAATCCACCTCCTAAGAATAACATGTTTAGGAGAAAAAAATATCTATCTCATCTTGAACACAAAATATACTGCTAAATAGAGAGCTGTATCACACACTAACCCCCCCCCCCCCCC